CCCCGCCGTATACCACTTTGGGCCAGTTCAGAATAAACTCCTTGCGCGATAGATGTCGGTAAGGGTGAGTCGGGGAAAGTAGAAGCACTGCACGGGGTTAGTCCCGTCTTTGGGGGATGGAAACTGGAAAGACGAGTGATCCTGAAAGGGGATGAACGATGCGAAGTCAAAGGGACGAAAAAGGGCTGGTGGTAGTCGCCACGGGGAATCGAGTCTAAATGAAACCGGATGAAACGTCAAATTACGAATAATGGATCTTTCGTGTATACGCTTTTCCCGCCAGCCGAGCTTCAGCGTTCTGCCGCTTGCCTGGCGCGAGGCGCTGCTGCCTGTTTGCCTTTATACCGCGATACTCGTCTTTATTGGCATTTTATCTAAATGACCACTGCCGGAACGCGAGTATTATGGCGTTGTCGAAACAGGGCCATTTATTTTGGTGATCGAGACGGGGCACGATGCTTTGGCTAAAAGCTAAAAGCCGTAAGACTAAAGTCAGAAGGATGCCAAGGCTGTCGGCCTTGAGCCGTCTCCGTGGCTAATAAAATTTTTGTCGTGTCCACGTGGCTCGTGCCGAGCTATTATAATTTCAATGATACATTTCGTATCACGAAGATATGGAACGTTGCTCGAACAGTTCTGACGTCACTGAGTATCTAGACCGTAGTTTTTTAATGGACAATTTTTCGTTTAATTACTAACCCAGAGGCTTGGCGGAAACGGTCGTAATGGCGACTTGGAGTGAAGTCAGGCAGAAGTCAGAAATAGAACAAAAAATGACGCGTGTCAATAGAAAGGAGGTAGGGTACTTCCGCAAGCATCCTAACATTCATCCTAAATTCATTATGAATCCATTCGCAGGCAACTTCAGTGCGTGAAAGCTCATTCGGATTTGCATTGCTTTTTTTTTTCACTTTTTTTTTTCATTCCTCTAATTAGCTCGTCGGTTATATGCCGTAGACATATATATCACTTGTTCCAATTACGAAATACGAACTCGGCCTAATGAGGTACTT